CGATGTCAAACCTTCGAATTGGTGTGAAATTCTGGCTAAGGGAGCTATAGACGAGTGAAGGCTTGGGAAGGTAAGTTGGGAGTACCCAATCAAATTAGTAGGTCAATTTAATCTTTTGTTTTAAACAAGCAAGCTTTCATAACCTCGAAAGTGACTTAGTCCAAAGAGAGCCAGTCTTCTTAATTAGGTGGTTAGGGTTTAGATGGGTGAAAGGGAGGGAGAGGAAGAAGTGGAGGCTAAATGTTTAGATGGATATCAGGCTGAGATTTGAGAGAGAGAGGGAGGGAAGGAGGGAGGGAGATGTTTGGTAGAACTGTGTTTAATAGTGATTGTTTAAAATTAGAAGATATATACACTTAAAGAGAGAGATGTTTGGTAGAACTTTGCTTAATAATCATTGTTAAAAATTAGAAGAAATATAAACTATAAAAAAGCAGAATATGCTTTTAAAAGCATCCTTAGATTGCTTCTAAAAACATCCTCTTAAAAGCAGAAACAGTTTGAATAAGCGTGCCAAAAAAAATTCACCAAACACCATTATTGACTGCTTATTAAAAAAAAATAAACAAAAGCACCCTTAAAAAAAGCAATACCAAATTGCCTCAAGGTCAGCCTTTATTATGTACATGAAGAAACAGTTCAGAACTACAAGTACCCCCAGTGTGAGACTGAATACTATTCTAATAAACACCATGGGCCATGGAAGAGCTTAGCAGAAGGGGGAAGATGAAAAGACGTAATCTCTTTCTTATAGGAAGATGTTTTTAAAATGTCGTCAATTGTTGTGATATGCATGGCTTCCTATCATCTCTTTTTTATTTACTGCTATAACCAGTACTGAGTTGATACTATTGCCACATTTTTCTTTCTGGTGAGGCCACTGTAGCATCTTATACGCTTTTCAGGTTACTTGTAACTACATCAAATACAGAGAGGGACTTGAAGTTAATTACAGAATTAAATAGGAGCTTGATTAAAACTAGAACTGTCATTTCTTCAATTCATGATGAATTCACAAACACACAAGCACACCACATTGGGTGCATACACAGAGACAGAAGGAAAGATAAAGAAAAGATAGAAGTTGGTTTTCAGCTGCTAATGACCATTATATAGACAATAGTATATGAAACAATTAAGAAGAGATTCATACATCATACATTCCTAGTGCGGGCTTGAAGGTTAAAGTGGTTCTTCTCTTACCATCTTACCCGTGTACAATAAACTTTGGGACGGCTATTGACCCTTATATAACATTGATAGACTGAAGACCAGATGCCTGAAGATTTTGTTTCTTTACGGTTGTTTCCACAGTTTAATGGTTTGATGTGTAGGTTCCAAATAGTATTTAAAATGAAGCTGCAGCGCACTTTTGTCTCCTTCAGGACAACATATTTATGATGGTAGAAATAAAACACGAGCAATTAAATAGGCTTTTTGACCACTATACTCAATATCACTACAAACAAATTTCTTTTACCATTCTGTTTTTATCCTACAACTTACATGTGTAGCATCTTCACCATGGTTATTGACCTGATGGTGCTGAAGCTCACACAGGTTCTTGTCGGACATCAAAATCTTTTTATACAAAGACAGGTCAGTAACCTTTGCACGAGGTCGTTAGATGTTAATGAAATCCAGCTATTTGAATGGTTGAATGATGTTTGATGTTGCTATTCTACTAATATGCCTCATCATCTTTGTCTGTTGTCTACCTTGAAGCTTACCAAGAAATAATTCTCCACTCTATCTAATGACATTCACATGGTAAATTTAGGCTTATATCCTCTAAGACTTGTTGCATAGAATATCTATTTAACTTCTTTGAAGTTTTCATATTAGCACTTGACATAGGCGGAATCTAACCATTATGAACTTGTAAATTGTTCATCGTCTTTAAAGAAAAATCACCCTGATGATCGATGCACATATGTTTCAAATATAATATTTGTGAAATGCATTGGGCCTAGTGATGTTGCCTACTTTTGATATGAAACGGTATCGCTCCGGCCTTGTATACCTTATGTTCGTTTTAGTATAACTTTAAAAGTAGTAATATCTTTCTTCACTTTTATCTTTTTTTCGTGCTATAAAATTTTGATTTTTGCAGGACTGGGCATCTACGTTGGTGAAGACTGGATGAAAGCTTCCACAGCAGTTATCTAGCATGAGAGACGAGTGAGTAAGATGATCTGATCATGTATCATAATGTGATTATGGAGAGTATTATTGTGATTCTAACAGCAAGAGATCCCTTTAAATATTAACCGCTGTGAGTGCAATATTGATGTGCTTCTGTCAAAAAGTTTGTACTGGTTGTGAGGCATCGTGATCCTCTCTACAAATATTTATCATCATATAGACTGTTCTGTTGATTGTATAGTGTGCTTTTTTCCCGTCTGCGTTTGTTTTCTGATCAATATAATCCTACTGAAAATTAACGCCAAATGAGTTTTACGCCCCTTTTCCATTTTCTTTCCCAAATGAGTTTTAAATCACCAACATTGTTATATACAATTTATTTAACTCGTTTCTTCAGCGATAACGTTTCTCACTTGATTTCTCGCTTGCGGTAGTGGAGGTAGCTATTTTGGTCCCAATCGTGCGAGTGATGTGCTAGAATAAGAATCATGATAGAATGCTTACATATATAAACTTGAAGACTATCATGGCAACATGGTGGTTTTATGGTCAACGAGTTGTTGACTTGTTGGTAATAGATATATACCGGTATGGGTCCATATGCGACCTACAACCGCATCCACTTTGGAGGAGTTCCTTCAGTAATCTGAAAGTTCAGAACAACGATCAGGATGTGAGATGATCCCAGATAAGGCAAGCTAGAAAAATAACTGTAAGTCTATAACCTCGAGATATCGTTATATGATAATTCAGATAAGAACCACAACTATATCAGTCATTCAACATATGTGAAACTTTGGGGGTGTTTGGTTCAATTTCTAGAAATTATAGGAAATGTTTTTCACCTAAAATATGATTTCCTTGTATTTCTTAAAAAAATTATAGGAAAAGTTTTGAGAAATCAAAAAGTACCAATTTTCTTGTTTTTTGTACTTTGCTTGTTTGGTTCAAAACAAGAAAATAGCTTATAACTTTATAGAAAATAACAAGATTTACTCTAAACAAAATCAGGGTAGAAGCTAAATAAAGTATATAACAAAATCAGATCTTAGTGATGCTACAACAAAAAAAAAAATCCATAATACTAAGATCCTCAAACAATATATTAACCTGCTACACATTATAGGTTTGTATCACAATTAGATTCTACAAGGCACAGTCTTTAATTTAGAGCCCAAAATACAGCGAGGGAGCAAAAACACTATCTGTAGTTCTCAGGCAGGTGGTATCCATTCATAACAATTTTATCGGCAAACATTTTGCCCGTCTTAGGCATCACATGCCAGTGCATGGTCAGGTTGAACTCCTTGCCTCGGAGGTTGTTTCCCTAAAAAAGAAATTAAAAAAAATCATCTAAGCTTCCCTTTCCTTTGTTACTTTACTTATTTCCTTCCTGTTCTATACTAGAAGGGGGGAAAATAGAAAGAAATCATAGATGGGTAAGCTGCTTGCCTGATCAATCAAGCGATACTTGTTTGTTGTATGAATCCGGAACTTTGCATGTTCTTTTGATGGTATGATACCATCCCAAAGTGAAACCTGTCGTATTTGTGATTTACACAAGATAATCAGAATAACATACTGGGCAATATATTTTATATTGTCAGTGCATCCGATAAATTTTTTTATTTTAACAGTTCTAGTATGCAGTTCTGTTCCCAGGAAATGGTCAATAAAATTATACGAAAAACATCTTTATGATTTGGTATCACTTTTAGTTGCAGAGATCTAAACTGCAAGCATGATACAGAACACAGGGAACATACAGTTCTATGAGGTGATTTATGTCACGTGATACAAGAGCAATAGAATAAAATTTACCTGATTCAATGCATTCTGTGGAGACTCATACTCAGCAGCAACAAAGACAAAGACCTGCACAATGTAGAACGACAAACATACTAGAAGAACGAAAACTAAATTTTAGGGTACCATAGTCAATTAGTCACCAACAATCAAAGAGAACATATTTAAAAGTTTCAGAATCAAACCCTCCATTTTTCAATGTTGGATAAATCGGATCAAAGAAATACAGGGGACACATCAATTCTATTATTAAGATACATATTTCCTATTCATGTGGCAACAACTATAGCATGTATAGAAGGTGTATTGCAGTAGTAATTTGTTGGAGATGCACTGCCATAAAAAAATTTTAGGACCAATACGAAGAAGCAAAATAAATATAATTTGAGACTTTTAAGTGTACTGGTAGTGACTAGTACCTGTTTCGTGTTCCAGGTGAACATGGATTGAAGATCTGCTGATATATTTAGTGTCAAGCTGACCTAAGTATCAAAGACAAAAGGTTACAGTAAGAACTGAAAGTAAATACAGTAAATAAGACCTAGGGAGGAAAAATGATTCTCCAATATTGATCCCTTTAGCACTATATAAGACTTTTAAGATCGATAAAACATGCATTTGTACAGGAATCATGAACATTAGGACCAGTTAGGCCTCACCGAATGTAATAATGACTATGATTCAAGCAGTACGGATACAGGTGTTGGTAGAAGACTACTAATGCACAAATTCATCAAAATTTCAATGTAATCGTTTGTGTTTATAAGTAGGATTAACTTCAAGATTACATGCATTCGTGTTGAACGCAAGCATATAGTATGGCAGAGTAGCCTATTCACAAAGGGTAGTTATTATACAGATACCTGAGAGGTCAAAACAAAGAGCAAGAAAAAAAAACTTAAAGCATACCTATACCTGTGACAAATTTTTTTTTTATCGAAAATATGGCCAAGTTAAAGAAATGTTGCCCCATTTCCTTCTTTAATTCTCTTTTCCCTCCTTTCTATCTTTCCTTTTTCTTTTCATTTCAGCATTCTCCCTATATCTCTTAAACTATTCCATTTCACGCCATGCATCTTCACCCTAAAAGAAAATACCACGCATCCCCATTGTGAATAATAGTATTGTGTCATCTAAATCACAGTTTCCATAAGTGTTAAATACTTAAGGGAGATTTATCATCATTTCATAACAAGGCAAGCAAGCCCATCCTTCAAATACCAAATGTATGCTTTTATATTCAGAAAATTGCCAGTCAATGAGGTTATATATCCTACGCATCCAGTTCCTATTGTTGTCAAAATGAAGAAAATTACAGTTTTCATGCTAATTTTCTGGGTCATATCATTTTCACGGAAAAAATTGTATATCATAACTAAAAAATAACAGTTCTATATTACAGACAAACACATATTATACTCTGAAAAAATTACCTTCCATTTTCATTAATTTGTAGAAGAGAATATAAGTTCATATTAGCTCACTGGATGTCATTAAATCATTAGGAGTGTTAAATGCTCGAAATAATACAGAACTGAGAATCACCTCGTCATTTCCATTTGGTTGCTTCTGGAACCAGTTTATATTCAATACCTGCACAAAAAGGAAAGGTCAAACATCACTGACCACCGCTAGGAACATAAAGTTCAATAAAGAAACTCCATATATTCTATACATAACTCTAAGAGGAGGCAATAGGATTTGGATCTTCTCCACTACCGAAAAAGTAGTGAAGGGACCACTACTTAATCATAATCATTAATTATCTAGTGGGTGGTTATGATTTTTGGTTGTGAATTTTTTTTTTTTTGAGCGTAAATTAGGAGTGGGTGCAATGAACAGAGGTATGTTGAGTGTTAGATTTAAAATGTATCACAATCACCCACTACAATCATCCACGGTTAAGATTAAAAGTGGTGGTCTCTCCCCTGCTTTTTTGTAGTGGAGGGAATCCAAATTCAAGAGAATATGGGACTACACAACCGTGCTAAAAAATCATCATAACTATTTCGTTGGAATAGTGCAACTTTGAAATGAGAAACAATTCGGGCACATCTGATTTTACAATTATCACTAAGTATAATTGTCAAAGACAGAACTAGGCAACCACAAACCACGTAAGCCGAACTACTCATTAGATGTCAACTATCCCTGCAGTTTTATTCAGTAGATAAGACGGTCCAAGACAATGACGATAATCATCATAATACATGTTATCCACAACTATAATTCTCACGAGTTGCTAAGCGAAAGCAATCGTCGTTTTCTTGTCTGTTGCATCAAAATAAACAGCAGATCATGAATACCACTAATCCACACTTAACAAAAACACAAAAGAGGAAACCTTTCCAAATTATCGAAGACGGTCATGGACCAATAGACTTCCGCAACTATCGATTTGGACGTTACAGATGCATAGGCTGAAAATTGACCAATTTGGTTCTTCACAAGATCCAAAATCTCCTACATTTCAGGGTTTTTTTTTTTTTTTTTTTTGATTTAACTCAAAACCGTAAACTTTTACCGTGTAAAGCACATGAAACCACGCCACAATTACAAATTGAGGAGGGAAACAAAAAAAAAACCCTAATCTAGGGTTAGGGTTTTGGGGGGCGGCTAACCTGGACGTCGGCGGTGGGGAGGAACGTTGAAGTTGTTCGGATAGAGAGAGGCGAAGCCGCACAGCACGCCAGCATCGTACCCGCGAACGTCACCAGCGCGTTCGCTCTGTAACCGAACGAATGCATCTTCTTCTTCCTCCTCCTCTTGTTTGTCTATCCAAGAATTTTTTCTTCTTTTTTTCTCTTTTTCCCCCTCTTCTACAGTCTCGAGACAGAGAGCGAAGAGAGATCCACTTGTATTAAAAATTTATAAAAAAGTTTATGGGCATTGAGCAGGGGTGCTACACCGTAGTCATAAATATCCGGAACAATATTCGTTAGAATCCGGATACGGATACTTAAATTTATAACGGATAGGATATGGTTACAGATAGGGGTGTCCAAAAAGCCCGAAGCCCGGGCCCGGGCCGGACAAAAAGCCCGGAGCCCAGGCCCCGGCCCGGTGCTCGCGCCCGGGCCCGGAACCCGGCCCGGGCCCGGAACCGGGCAAACCGGGTCGGACCCGGGCTGCGGTCGGCCGTTGCGCAGCCACGTCCGGGCCCCGCGAACAGTGCCAAAAATGACGGCACTGGGCTTTGAAATGGCCCCGCGTCCGGCCGGGCCGGCCCGGCCCGGACCAAAACGGTCACAAAGGTGACCGTTGCCCAGCCCGGCCCGGGCCAAATCTGGCCTAACGGCCAGATTTGGTCTTTTGACCGTTTTGCCCCTTAAAACGGTCAAAAAACGGCTATTTTTCGAGGGTTTTTTGGTCATTTACCTAGGGGGCTGCTTCTATAAATAGAGGGGGGGTTTCAATTCATTTTCTCACAACAAAACTCATCTATTTCTCTCTCTACTACTCTCTTATACAATCTTATACTATCTCATACTAATATACTATCCTATAATCTTTTGTATTTTCTAATACTTCCAACAAATGGCTTCTGGGTCTGATTATGAAGAGCAACATGCAACTCCTACCGATCCAGAGATGAGTCCTCCTACAACAACTCCTCATCCTACCGGTGTTAATCCTGAATCTGGTGGCGACGAATCTACGGCACCAAGAGCTCCAAAAAGGCCGAGGTCTGATGTATGGAATTTTTTTGAGAAGATAGACGTCACCAAGGATGAACACGGTAGGATCATCTCTCAGAATGCGAAATGTGCGTTGTGCGGCCAGATATTCAAAGCTCATCATAAGAGCGGCACCAACCATCTCAAACGGCATATTGAAAAACACAACAAAGGCCAAAATCTACAAGGTGATATCCGGCAGTCTATGCTTTCCCAATCATCCTCTTCAGGTACCCTCGGCAGTTGGAATTATGACGCTGCCCGAGCCCGGAAATGCGTAATCAGGTTTATTGTTCTTAAAAACCTTCCTTTTAAATTAGTAGAAGATGATGAATTTGAAGATTTATTTAGAGATGGTTTTTATCCTGCATTTACAAAATTTTCTCGTCAAACCTGTCAACGTGATATTTTAAAATATTATGTTGAGGAACAGGGAAAAATAATTTCTTATTTTAAAAATTTAAACTGCAAATTTTCTTTAACTTCTGATATTTGGTCATCTAGAGTGCAAACTGGTTATTTATGTATAACAGCACACTGGATTGATGAAAGTTGGAAAATGTTTAAAAGAGTTGTTTCTTTTATTGCAATTGAAGAGTCACACACTGGTATTAATGTTGCAAATTTAATTGTTGAAGAACTTATGAAACTAGAAATTGATCAAAGAATATTTACTCTTTCACTAGATAATGCAAGTAATAATAATGTAGCTGTTGATTTTCTGAAAATAACTTTGTCATTGCCATGTCATGGTGAGCTTTTTCATGTTAGATGTATCTGTCATATTTTAAATTTAATTGTTCAAAGTGCATTTTCTGAAATTAAACCCATGATAGAAAAAGTTAGAACAGTTACTAATATGCATAATGCTTCTGAAATGAGAATTAAAAGATGGAAACAATGTTGTAAAAGAAAAAATTATAAGCCTAGACTAATTCCAAAAGATGTTGACCATAGGTGGAATTCCACCTATGCAATGTTATCTGTAGCAATAGAATATAAAGAAATTATAAATGATTTTATAAATTTTTATGCTTCTAGTTCTAGCTCTGGTAGTGCTTATGGAATAACTGAAGATGAATGGACAGTTATATGTAAATTAAATGAGATGTTACAAGTTTTTTATGATGCTACTATGTTATTATCTGGTTGTTATTATCCAACTATTACTTTAGCTGCTTTACAAATTTTAAATATTCAAAAAAATTTTACAAAATATCGTATGGATGATATTTTTGGAAGTATAATTTTTGAAATGGAGAGTAAATTTAATAAGTATTTTAGGCCTATTCCTCATATTTTTGGTATTGGTGTTCTTATTGATCCATGCTTGAAGGAAATTGGCCTTCGAAGTTTGTTACAATCATTGTATGGTGGACAGATTATAGACTTAGATGATGGATCCACCCTTACTGCTACTACTCATTATTTAGCTATTAGAAATTATTTTCAAACCTTATATGATGAGTATGCAGCTAGATATGGTGTAGCTACACAACAGTCTTCAGCTTCGGCACCTTCAGCTTCGAGCACAGGTCGAGGTAAAAGTGTAAGTTTTGATAGGTATGCAATGGTAGCTGAACTAACTGGTGGATCTGGAACTTCATCAGGATTAGATGTTTCTGAAATAGATGAATATTTTTCTGCTTCTTTAGTTAGATGTCAAGGAAATGCTTTAGATATTTTGCAATGGTGGAAAGTATATGGATCAGTTTCATATCCTATACTTTCCACCATGGTTCGTGACTTACTATCAGTGCAGGTTTCGACTGTAGCCTCGGAATCCGCTTTCAGCACAGCAGGACGTTTGATCGACGACCACAGGACATGCTTAGATCCGTATACTGTACAAGCGGTGATGTGCTTACAGGATTGGTGGAGATACGAGAAGCGAACACAAGGCATCGAACGGATTGCTATGATTGAAGATAAATTTGAAGAGTTGGGACTAGCAGATAGATATAATGATTAGATAATATTCATAAAATTGTAATTTTTATTTCTTAGCTTTAAATTTGAATTAAATTATTTCGAAAAAAGTTGCAAATGATAGTGATATGGGTGAGTAGGTGCCAACCTAGTTGGGATGTACTCATCTATTGTGATGCGACGAATTTCGAAATAAATTTATACTTGTAAAGGATTTACCGATTATTAATAAAGAAGTTATTTTTATCATTTTTTGTACTTGTAATTTATGTCATTTCATTTCAAGTTATTAATTACATTTATGACATTTTTTATAATAATTTATGATTTATGGTTTTGTTAAAATAATTTATGATTTATGGTTTTGTTAAAATTTTAAAAAAATAAAAAAAAACAAAAAAAAAATTCTTAAAAAAAATCAAACCGGGCTGGCCCGGTGTCCGGCCCGCTCAGGCCCGGGCCCGGTCCGGACCACCCGGGCCAGGGTCCGGGCTTGGGTTTTGCCCGGCCCGGGCTCGGTTTCCCGGGCCGGGCCGGGCCGGGCCGGCCCGGATGGACAGCCCTAGTTACAGATATGATTTTGTAGTGAAATATTTGTATTTAAAACATCCGAATACATATTAGTCATATTTTTACGATAGTTTCGATTCTTAGATTATGATTTTGTGGTTAATTTTGATGATCAAGATGTCTAATCTTAACTTTTCAGTGATAATGAACATATTAATGAACTCTTTCGTATCACATAAACTATGTTTTTCTCAATGTTATCTAGTTTTCTCATATCCGTTTTTGTATCCGCATGTGTATCCGCTTATATATCAGCATATATATCCGTAACTGTATCCGATTTTAGCGGATATGGATATGAATTTTTCTTACCGAGGTATATCTGTATCTGTATCCGTATCTGAGATGAGTAAACGGATATGGATATGGTAAGCATCATATTCGAGCCGTATCCGGGCCAAATGCACCAAGCATCATATTCAAGTTGTATCCGTATTCGAGCTGTATCCGGATTGAATGCACTAAGCATCATATTCGAACTGTATCCATATTCGAGTCGTATCCGGACTGAATGCATCCCTATTACCATATCCATATCCGCTTACTCATCTCAGATACGGATATGGATATACTTCGGTAAGGAAAATTCATATTCATATCCGTTAAAATCAGAAACGGGTACGGATATACATGCGGATATATAAACGAATATGCATGTGGATACAAAAACGGATATGAGAAAACTAGATAGCATTGAGAAAAACATAGTTTATGTGATACAAAAGAGCTCGTTAGTATGTTCATTATAACTAAAAAGTTAAGATTAGACATCTTGATCTTCAAAATTAACCACAAAACTATCATAAGAGTATGACTAATATGTATTTGGATATTTCGGATACGGATACAGATATTTTAGTACAAAACCATCTCTGTGACCACATCCTATATGTTTATATATTTGAGTAACCATATTTATATGCTAACGACTATGGTTACAGATATTTCCTCGGATACAGATACGACTTAGCACCCCTACATGGTAAGCATCATATCCGCGCGGTATCCGCACCGAATGCACCATGAGACAGCTCCGCTAAGATATACTTTCTACGGGGCCCACTGGAACAATTTGACACGTGGCTGGATATTATCGGTTTGAGTCGGGTG